GCCTATTCATTTTGTATTGTTTTTATTCTATTGTTATTTCACTTTGTGCAATGCGGGACGCATTGGACGGAGGCGTGGGTAATGTGATGAATCAAAATTATTCTTTTATCTTTTTGGCTTTTATTTACTTTGCAAAATTTAATTAACCTTTGGCTTACATCACATTGCTCCCATCTTCGTCCCTTATTTACTTTTCTTGTTTATATCATTATCCTTATTTATTTTTATCATTTGTACATATTCATTATTAAATCCGTAATTTTTATTATTGTCACGTAATTTCACGCTGCTGCGAGATAACGGTTACCTGGAATCTCGCGAGATTTTCTCGCTATATAAACACAAGCAGACGAATGATTCTTCAGAAAGAAAGAGAGAAAGAGAGTGTGCTCAGGTTAGAAGTCTTTCTCTATGAGCTATACCCCGAAGGTCCCATGTGACTAGCTTTATCGGCGGTACCTCATTACCCAATTTTTATCGGGCGGTCCTTTGTGATTATTCTTACCGGTGTTAATTCTTTTATTCGGCATTTTCTGGATGATCCTTTGTGATTTGTGTTGTTCCAGTATAATTTAGTGCTTGTGTGGTATTTTTAACGTGTGTGCCACCCCAAATATTTTGGGCTATTGTGCATTGTTTTTATTATACGTGATTGTGATTTTGTGCCACTTTGTGAATAGGACAGTGCTTTGGTTCGTGGTTCCTATTTTAGACCAATTCAATTTGTGTATAGGACTGTGCTATGTGATTCATGTTATGCAATTTGTGTCTCGTAGCAGCGCCCATTTATTTTTATTAACACCATTTTTCATAAAGTGTATTGTTGTATTTGAATGTAGATAATTGATATTTTTATATATAAAGTTTTAAACACTTGTTTCTTTGATTGAGTAAATTGGGATAGATTATAGTCACTTTTGAGCTGACAGTTGCTCCCGTTAACGGAGAGATTTTTGCGTGATTCTGGGGCTGTATAGCAAAACCCCAACCCCAGATTAATAAATCCAGTTACACGCTACAATATTTTTCAATAACGCAATTTTACCATTTTCTTCTGGACGTCACCATTGTGATTTCCTGTTGCACTGGCGTAT